CACCATAAGAAGAGTAACCCCAGCCTGAGCCTGGCTGGCCAGAAGACGTGGACTTTGAGGGGACAGTGCAGAGTCGAGGTGAAATTTAACAATGCCTATTCAGTGTCTTCACAAACTACTTTATGCTCTAATGAGTTTAAAATCTCAGTCTCCTAGAAAAGTAGACCAGTGGTTATAAGTTACTGAATCATGGTGTAAGTCTTTCTATCATTATATACTTGTGTTTTGTGTTTAGCATTCTTTTTGTGCATAGGAAATAAATACCTGTGCCCTACCTGATTCATATTGTACACTGAGTACCTTTCTGTTCCCCTCTTTGTGGGGGGGGGGACTCCAGACAGCAGTCAAACTTAATTCCTTTAGTAATATTCCCTCAGGGACATAGGGTGGGGGAGAGTAAAAAGTCAAAGTATGTGAGAAAGGAACTTAAGCTTTCTCACTATAATCCAGGTTATAGCAGGAGTGAACCCAGTCTGGCCACATGTGTGAATCCCCCTCATGGGGGGTAGAGGGTACACTCCACCAATAATTTTTAATATTAGACTTGCATATAGTTCAAATTTGAATTTATACAGTTCTAATTTGGCCCTTTGGGGCTAAATAGAACAAATTTAACACAAAATATTTGAAGACAGTGAGAGAAGTGATTAATGATTTGGGGAGATTCAGAGTTTCCCCTCTTTCTATTTTCAAGACCTCAGTCTCTGAAGGTTGAGTTAACCTTCTCCTCCATCTGACCCCACCCAACCTTACAAGGAATCTCTAGTCTAAGGTAAATTCCATTCAATCAAGCTTGGGTGGAGACAGATCCTTTTCATCTAAATTGCCCAAGGCTGGGGGTGGTCTGGGTATACAGATAGTCTCTCTGTCCAAGAATGACATGATGTCACTCTTAGCCCCTCATTGTAATATTCATTCTCTCATTAATTGTAAACCAATCAGGATTGATTTCCACTCTGGGGAACACCTACTCTTGGAAGGGTATATAAATTGTAAACCAGCTGCCATAATTATCTTTATCTAAGACAGACAGCCACATGACCATCTTTTATTAATAAACATGCTGTCCTTATTGATAAAATTATTAAATTACCCAGAAACTATGTCTCTTGAACCTTTTAATTATAACAACAGCTATCATCTCTCCCCAAACCTTCTTTTACGCAAGCTAAATATTTCTGGTTCCTTCACTTCATCTTCAAAGTCATGGTCCTGTATCTCTACCATCCTAACCATCTTCCTCTAGACAAGTTCCTATTTGTCAATATCATTCTGAAAATGTGGCTCCTTGAACTGGCCACAGTACTCTATATGGGGTCTGCCTGGGGCAGATTACAGCCAGACCATCACGGCCATGGCTCTGAACACTGTGCCTGACTTAATGTAACAAGAATGCATTTGCTTTTTTGGCTAACATGGCAGTCTGTTGACTAATATTGAACTTGCTGCCCAACTAAAATCCCTAGGTTTTTTCTTTTTACATGAACTACTTCATTGCTAAGTCTTAGTCCCAGAAGCCCAAAGCCTTCATTTTATAGATGAGGAAATGGTGGCCCAGAGTTCAAAGAAACATAGTAAGTTAATGGTGGAGCTGGGACTAGGACCTACATCTATTTCAAGCATCTGATGCATAATGTTGTGGTTCAGTTGTTTCAGTCACATCCAACTCTTCTTGACCCCATTTGGGGTTTCCTTGGCAGATATTGGAAGCGTTTGCCATTTCCTTCTCCAGCTCATTTGAACAGATGAAGAAATTGAGGCAAACAGGGTTAAGTGACTTGCTCAGAGTCACACAACTAGTTATGTCTGGGTCAGATTTGAACACAGGAAGATGAATTCATCAGGGTATTGGGTTTGAGGAGAAGTTCATCATTATGAGCTCATTAGGAAGATGAACCAGACACTCTATCCACTGCGCCACCTAGCTGCCCTATGATGAGTAACATCTAGTAATAATAATAATAACTAGCATTTATATATTACTTTAAGGTTTACAAAGTACTTTGCAATTATTATCTTGTTTGATTCTCATAACAACACTGGGAGGTGGGTGTTATTATTAGCCCCATTTAACAGATGAGGAAACCAAGGCACATAGAGATGAAGTGACTTATCCAGAGTCACACAACTGTAAAGTATCTGAGGCTGGATTTGAACTTAAGTCTTCCTGACTTGAGGGCCAGCACTGTACTACCTAAGACCTCTTAGCCCCGGTCCCTCTCAGTTGCCTGTGGATAGACCAGACCAAGCTCTAGCCTACACTCTGAGTTCTCGTCAGTAGCCAAAGGGCTTATAGAGCAAAGAAGTAGGTAAGGTAGGAAATTCAGGAGAAAGTTGAAACTGTTATTTCTTCCATATGTTTTCCTCCAGAACAATGTGTTGCACCCTGCTTCACAAGGAGGCCCAGGGGTCTACCCTCTTGAAGATCTTCACAACCTATTCTACATTCAAGGAGACTCCAAGCCCTGCCATACAAGGATTGGTTGGAGGATCTAAAGATGTTTAATGATGATTGTCCTAAGTAGGGATGAGTGAGCTACCTCTGCAGAGAGTGTGAGCTTCCCATCACTAGAGGTCTTCAAGGACAGGCTGGATGAATAATGTTGTTGTTGTGCCTTAGGGACTGCTGAAGGGAGGATAGTGCATGTAGGCTCTGGACTCAGACAATTGAAGTCAAAATCACACCTCTGATACTACCAGTGTGACCTTGGGCAAATCACTTGCTCTTTCTGAGCCGCTGTTTCCTCTTCTGCAAAATGAAGAGGTTGGACTAGATGCCTTCTGAGTTTTTTCTCAGCTCTAGAACAAGGGGTCAGGGGATCACAGATTTAAAGTTAGAAGATCTATGACCTACCATTCTAATCAGGTGAGGGTTGGACTAGATGCCCTCTGAGGTTCTCACCAATTCTCTGATCCATTTAGCAAAGGGAAGACATGGGGAGGGAATAGCGCCAGCAAGCAAAACAAGGAAGGACCAATGCAGGGAAGTCATGGAAAGAAAGACTTGGTCTCTGCAGAAAGGAAAGCTTCTTAACCAACAGGGCTGAACAAAAGCGGAATGGGCTTATCTTGTTAAGTACCTATTGTGTGCAAGGAGCTGTGCCACACACTTTACAATTGCTATCTTGTCTGAACTTCACGACAATCCTGGAAGACAGGTGCTATTTTTTTCCTGTTTTGCAGTTGAGGAAATTGAGGCAGACAGAAGTTGAACGACTTGCCTTGGGTCCCTAGGGCCTCAGCCCCTCAGAGTGTCTGAGGTCAGATCTGAACTCAGGTTTTCCTGACTTCAGACCTAGGGCTCGAGGGAGGGAAGGAACAAGCATTTATTAAGCATCAACTAAGTGCCAGGTACTAAGTCCTTTACAAATATTGTCTCCTCTAACCCTACCCATTGTACCACCTAGTTGCCTCTAATGGGGAAACCTGTTCACCTGAGTTCAACTAGAGGCCTGAGGTGCCTTCCCACTTTCACATTCTAGGATTTTCACAGTCAAGAACTTTTTCCTTATAACTCATTTCAAGTCCTCCTCCATTTTTTCAAAGGAGTGGGTAGTATAGCATACAGTGTAGTGTGCTGGACTTAAAGTTAAGAAGACCTTGGTTCAAATCCTGCCTCTCATACTTACTAGTTATGTGACTATGGCCTACCACTTAACCTCTCTAAGTCTCAGTTTCCCCATCTGTAAATTGGGGGTAAGAATATCGTTAATACTTGCCTCAGCATTAGGATGAGGCTCAAACGAGGTAAAGCAAGTAAAGTGTTTTATAAATGTTAAAGTACTATATAAATATGAATTATTATGGTTCCTAAGAGGGTATGGAGTAAAGCTAGTTACTGCCCTCCAATTTTCAACAGGCTTCCTTTCCTTTCTTTTTCCCTTCTCTAAGAATCTGCCCAAAGTCCTGAGACCTGGCATTGCCTCCAGCCACTTTACCTTGCTCCTTCCCCACCTCACCCCCACTGTCTTCACCCTTGAAAAGGAACATGGCTAGTAGTTTTAATTTTTTAATTTGAAATAAATTTTAAAGCAATTTTCAGGGTCTGGTCTCCCCTGACTTCATACCATGGACATTTAACATAAATTCTTCCAAGAGAAAGTCTTACATCCAGAAACATGGGACAGGGGAGGGAGAAAGTGAGCCTTTCCTGGGCCAGGCTCTAGGGAGCCTTGGCTTCCACCTGACAGTCAAGCCCAGCCCTTTCTGTCTTTTCAGCCAGCATTGCTGCCCGCACACTTCAGGCTGGCTGACAGGTCACTGCTGGGAAAGTTCTCCCCAAAAAAATTGCTTTCGAGGAACCTTCTCAAATGAATTGTTCTCAGCACAGCTTCTGCCTGGAGCCGAGGGGCTTCCCTCTGCGCCCTCCTCACCTCTGCATGTAGCCAAGTCCAATGAACTGCAGTGGCTCTGAAAGCTTTCCCTTCTCCTGCTTTTAGAAGCATGTGCTCCAAAGTCTGGTAGGATGTATGTGGGCACACATGTATGTCTGAGGCATGTGGATACATGTACATGTCTATGTGTCTCTGAATGTCTGTTCATATGTGTGACCAACACATATGGAGGGGTATATGGATACATGTCTGTCCAGTGTAGACACCTGGATGCCAGCTTGTCTTTTATAGGCAAATGCACCCATGTGTATAAGTCTGTATATGCAGATGTGTGCATAGATGGATGCATGCCTTCCTTTTTGAGTGTATGTGTGTATACATATGCATGTCTGTAAGTTATGTCTGCACACGCATGGTTTGTCTGAATGAGAATGGGTTTGTGAGTGAATGTCTGCCTTTTCTAGGTGGGTGATTGTTGTACATGTGTGCATATCTATGAGTTACGTCTGTATGGTATGCCTGTATGAGCATGGGTATGGCCCATGTCTGCCTTTTCTAGGTGGGTGGTGATATGTACATGTCTATGAGTTATGCCTATATGTACAAGGTATGTTTGTAGAAGTATGTGAGTACATGTCTGCCTTTTTATAGGTGTGTTTTATGAGTCCATCTCTGCATACATGTACATGCCTCATGTGCATGGATGTGTACATGTGTGTGAATATTAATTGCAGCAGTACTCCAGTTCAGTAAAACTCTCATATACATAGCAGCGTTGGCTTCTTGTTTCCAGGGCCTAAGGCCTGGAGTCATCCCTAGGCAGCAGGTGTTATGGGACCTTCAGTCCCTAGTGGAGGCTGCTGCTGCTGCTGCTGCTGCTGCTGCTGTCCCTTCCGCCTTCGAGGAGAGCCCAGGCGGGCTTCCTTGCTTTCTTTCCTGCTTAGGTTCCCATTGGCATTCTCCCGTCGGCCCTGCCCATCCTTCCGTCTCTTCTGTCCTAGAATCGGAACATCAAGAAACGTTACCCAAGAGGCCTTGCCCAGGTCTCTGGCAGGTGATGAGGCTCAGGGGCTGGGGAAGGCAGGCAGGCAGCAGGTAGGCATAGCCCTGGGCCAAGACAAGAAGAGGAGGAAGGGGGGGAGGGAGGGAAGAAAGAAAGGAGGAAGGATGGCAAGGTAGCTCAGAGAGGTAGGCAAGCAGCTGGAATGGCCCTGGACACAGACAAGAAATGGAGGAGAGAAGGAGGGAGCCATCGTGGAAGCTCAGGACAGCCCGCCAGAAAGGGCCCTGATGTGGACAGCTCTCCAAGGGTACCAAGGAGCAGCTGAGGACTGTTTAGCCAAGAAACAGAGAAAAGCGGAGGGGAAGGTGGAGAAATGGGCATTATCTCTAAGTGTCTGAAGGGCCCTTGTCCAGAATAGTCTGTAATCTAAGAGGGAGCAGAGGCAGGGCTAGAGTGGTACAAGGAATCATCTTTTAGGCTGGACTGAAAAGCTTCCACCATTAGAGAGCAGGTACTCTCATTCCTGTGAGGAGTGGCAAGTAGCTATCTGAAAATAAATGTATGTAGGACACTCTTCAAAGTGGAATCTGCATTGTTAACACTTTCCCCATGACTTTCTTAAGTCAAGACAGCCAACAAAGCAACAGATTAATCCTTGGATGTTACAGTTAGCTCCTTTCCAAGACCTAATGCTTAAGCTGAAAATTTAGCAACCAGCTGGCTAGAGCTGGGTCTAGCACCTCCAGCATGTCACTTTCAACTTCTATTTATTCAACAATCATTTATCAAGCATCTACTACATTCCAGACACTGAGATAAGTGCTCAGAAGACAAACAAAAAAGTCCTTCCCTTCAAGGAGCTTAGTATAATTCCTGGCGCATAGTGAGCACTTACTTAGACATAACCCTTACATACTAAGCATGGTGACTGACTTATGGATACATACAAGCATACACATACAAAATTATTTCAGCAGCTGCAGTAGGGAGGGAGGAGAGGGTGCTAGCACCTAGAAAGACCAAAATGGACCTTGTATAAGAAGAAAATTTGAAAGGGAACTAGTGAATCTGAAAGGTGGCGGTAAAAGAGAGAGAGCGTTCCAGGCATGGGTTCTCTCTAACTTCATTGTACATTACTCTTCTTCCTGACTCTTCAGTCCAGCCAAACTGGACTTCTTCTCTTCCTCACCCATGGCATTCCATACTGTCTCTGTGACTACATTAGTTATTCCCCATATCTAGAATGTCCTCTTCTCTTACCTGCCCCTTATATAATCTCTTTCTCTGTCTCTCTGCTTGTCTGTCTCTCTCTCTGTATAATTCATGAACTACTTTCTGCATGAAGTTTTTTGTTTGTTTGTTTTTGGTGAGGCAATTGGGGTTAAGCAACTTGCCCAGGGTCACACAGCTAGTAAGTGTCAAGTGTCTGGTCTGAGACTGAATTTGAACTCAGGTCCTCCCGACTCCAGGGCCGGTACTCTACCCACTGTGCCACCCAGCTGCCCCTTACATGAAGTTTTTACTGATTTCTCTCACTCCTGGTATCTCCTGCCTCTTCCTCGTCCCTGAGAGGGAATTAGGTGACCCAGTGGATAAAGTGCTGGACCTGGAGTTACAAAGACCCAAGTTCATAGTTGGCTTTAGATACTTACTAGCTGTGTGACCTTGGGCAATTTCTCTTAGCCTCAATTTACTCAGCTGTAAAATGGGGATAATAGTACCACCTCTCTCCCATGGCTGTTGTGAGGTTTTTTTTAGGCAATTGGGGTTAAGTGACTTGCCCAGGGTCACACAGCTAAATGTCAAGTGTTTGGTCTGAGGCTGGATTTGAACTCAGGTCCTCCTGACTTCAGGGCTGGTGCTTTATCCACTGCGCCACCTAGCTGCCCCATGTTGTGAGCTTTAAATGAGGTATTACCTGTAAAGTATTTAGCACAATGCCTGGCATATAGTAGGTGCTTAATAAATGCTTGTTTCCTTCCTGCCAAACTACATTTTTAGGCAAATTTATTCTCTTTATTTAGTGTGTACTTATATACTTCCTTGTTGTTTTCCCTGTTTAGTCAGTGTCTAAGGCCAGATTTCAACTCAGGTCTTCCTGACTCTAGGCCCAACATTGTGGTAGAAATTGTCTAGGAACACTTTGTGGGTCAGGCTGGTTTCATTCTCTGGATTTACATCTCCCTTGTGGTCAGCATAGGAGATGCAGGGCTGTGCGTAGGGAGCAGCAAGAAAGGCCAGTCTGCCTGGAATGTAGAACATGTGGAGCACAGTCATGTGCAGCCAGCCTTCTGTTCTTGGGTCCTCCAGAATAGCTCTACCATGTTGTTCAGTCATTTCAGTAGTCCAGCTTTTTGTGACCCCACTTGGAATTTCCTTGGCAGAGACACTGGAGCGGTTTGCCATTTCCTTTACAGATGAGGCAACTCAGGCAAACATGGTTAAGTGACTTGCCTGGGGTCACACAGCTAGTAAGTACTAAGGTCAGATTTGAACTTAGGTCTTCCTGACACCGGGCCCAGTGCTCTATCCACTGCCCATCTGTAACACAGGGACTCTCAAATGACTTTAGAGACTCCTTGTTCTCCCCTCTTTTCCTGTACATCCACAAACACCACCTTCTTCCTTGTTCCTTTAGCATAACATGGATTTAAACATCTTAGCAATGCTCCCTGATGGGGCAATCCGCAGTGTCCACATGCAGCGTTAGGACCTGGCAGGGAGAGTCTGCCTTGACTTGGCCAGGTGCTCCCTCTGGGCTCAGAGAATGAGAAGCAGAGGGCTCAGAGGCCAAGTGGCCCATCTGGGCTCCATAGTCACAGCCCAGGGGAAGCTGGCTTTCCAGCCAGGCAGGAGGTGGCCTACGAAGAAACATGAAGACACAAAGCATGTCTCTTCCAGGAATTATTTGGCCTCTGGCTAAGCCAGGGTCACAGAATCACAAAATCTCGGAGCTGGAAGGGACCTCAGAGGACTTCTATTCCAACTCATACTGGACGAAGAATTCTTCCTACGGCCTCTCGACAAGTGGTCATCTAGTCTCAGGCTAAAGATCTACCGAGGCAGACCACTGCACTCTGGAAAAGCTACAACTGTCAGGAATGTCGCCTTGAATTAAGCCCAAATCTGCCTCCTTGCTACTCCCACCCATGGCTCCTATTTCTGGGGCTAAGTACAAAGTCCAATCTCTCTTCTCCACCACGGCCCTTCAGATGTTTACAGGCAGTCGCCATGTTTCCCCCCTAAGTCTTCATTTCCCAATTCCTTTGATCCTCCTTAATCTTTCATTGTGTGACACAATTGTCCCATAGCTGCAGGAAAACCCAAAGAATTAACAAAATGTTTTACTTGAAGGGGACCCAGTGGTGGCCATCTAGTCCAGCCCATCCCCATAAAAGAATTCTCTGTACAACCTCCTCAATAAATAGTTGTCCAACTTTTGCTTGAATTCTTCCAGTGATGGGGAACTCGTTACCTACTGAGGCAGCTCATTCTATTTTTTGTACAATTCCAGTTGTTGGGAAGTTTTCTTACAGTGAATCAAAATCCATCTGTCTGCAGTTTCTACCACAATGTTGGGCCTAGAGTCAGGAAGACCTGAGTTCAAATCTGGCCTCAGACACTGACTAGCAATGTGATCCTGGGCAAGTCACTTAATCTGTTTGCCTCAGTTTCTTCAACTATATAACGGGGATAATAATAACACCCACCTTCCAGGGTTGTTGTGAGGCTCAAATGAGATACTATTTGTAAGGCACTTAGAACAGGCATTTAAATCCTTCCTTCCTTTCTTAAGTTTTCTAGAGCTAAAGAAAACAAGTCTAATCTCTCTTTCGATTGACAGACCTTCAGATACTTTAAGATAGCCACCATGTCTCCCCTAAGTCCTCTCTTCCCCAGGCTAAACATCTCTAGTTCCTTCAAATGATTAAACTCTTCCTCCCCACCGTCCATTCTCACCCCATCTTTCTAACCACATATTCGAACATATTCTTTTTTTAATTGTTTTTTTTTGGTGTGGCAATCAGGGTTAAGTAACTTGCCCAGAGTCACACAGCTAGTGAGCGTCAAGTGTCTGAGGCCAGATTTGAACTCCTGAGTCCAGGGCCAGTGTTCTATCCACTCTGCCATCTAACTGCTCCTTCGAACATATTCTTCTCAGGACAATGGCTTAAACTTCTAGGTGAAAGCTTCCCTTTCCCAGAAGCCTGGGTGCCTGGGTTGGGGTCACCCTTCCTCAATAATGTTGCCTTTTGAGCCCTGAATCCAACCCACACCCCCATGGACCCTCATACACAAGCCTGGGGGACCTGTTTAAAGGATTAGGGATTCTGAGAGGGGACTAGAAATAGCACTGCCCTGCTCTCATGGAGATTATGTAGGTTATGTAGGATTCTCACGCTACTTTCCTCCTCCTTAACCCTAGAGGAGATAACGTTTGTACACTATTACATGTGTAAAGCATTCTGAAAAGTATAAAGATCTATGTAAATAATAGTAATAACATGTATATAGTTCTTTAAGGCCTACAAAGCACTTTACCTATGATCCTCATTTGCTCCTTAAAACAGTACGTGCTTTTATTATCTGAATTTTACAGGTGAAGAAACTGAGGCTGAGAGTGGTTAAGTTATTTGCTCAGGGTCATACAGCTAGTAAGTGTCTTATTTGGCAGGATTTGAACTCATCTTCTTAACTCCAAGTCCAGCACTCTATGCACTGTGCCCCGTAGCTATAAATAGATACAAGTGTGGCTATTATTTTTTCACAGCCAGGTTGATATCATGGCACTCTTTTTTTGGTTTCCAGGCATTTGTACTGGCTGTCCCCATGCCTGGAATGCAATCCTTCCTCACCTTGCCTCTTAGAACTTACCTTCAAGAGACTTAGCTCAAGCACCACCTTTTCCATGATCACCTTGTATCTTTTGCATATACCTGTATGTACACGGGGCAGCTAGGTGGTACAGTGGATAGAGCACTGTGCCTGTAATCAGGAGAACCTGAGTTCAAATCCAACCTCGGACATTTACTAGCAGTGTGATCCTGGGCAAGGCACTTCACCCTGTTTGCCTCAGTTCCCTCATCTGTCAAATGAGCCGGAGAAGGAAATGGCAAACCACTCCAGTATCTTTGCCAAGAAAACCCCAGATGGGGTCAGGTCATAGAGAGTCAGACATGATTGAAATGACTGAGCCGCAACAATATATGTTCATGTTCTTTCTTCCAACGGAATACAAGCTCCTTGAAAACAAGAGCCATTTTATTTTCGTCACTGTATCCCTAGCACCTGACACATAGTAGGAGCTTAATAAATACCTGTTGATTCATTGGTTTGTTTGCACTTTTGTGGTGTATTTATTGTGTAACATTGTGTATCATTGTTATCTGTATAGGTGTCTTCTTCCCTACCGAACGGTAGGTTTCATGAGGACAGGGATCATGTCTTATCTAAACTTTATCTTTTTCCCTGTGCCTAGTATGGAGGAGGCAAAGAAGAACCAAACAGGCAGAAGGCAGACATGGGGAGGGACTATGTATCCCTTAAAGGGGGATTGTCTATAGAAATGCAGAGGTGTGAAAAGGAAGGATGAGATTGAGGCTGAGTTTATAGAGCAGGCTTGCATATGGCAGCTGGCCAGTGGCGGAACTTGGCTGCTGTCTTAAGGTGTTTGAAAAGCGCTCTGCATACAAGTAATGTGCAAACTTTAACACATAGTTAATGGATGAATGACGCACAAGGAGATTGAAGCAGTGGAGGAAGCACAGGCAATGTCTCCAGGAGTAGCTGTGATGATCGGGAGCGCACAGGAGGAATTGGCTCCCTCTGAAGAGAGGCTGAGAAGCCAAAATGGAGAACTGGGATGCACAGGGGCCAAGGATGAGAGGGGGATCTTGGGGGAGTAGCTGGAGATCTTGGGGAAATAGAGAGGGATCTTAGGAAACAGAGGGGAATTTGGGGGAATAGAAGAGATCTTGGGGAAATACAGAGGGGTCTTAAAGAACAGAGGGGGGATCTTAGGGAAATGGAGGGGGATCTTGGGGACATAGAGGGGGATCTTGGGGAGTAGAGGGGGATTGAGGCAGCTGAGTGGCACAGTAGATAGGGCAGCGGCCCTGGAATCAGGGGTCCTGAGTTCAAATCCAGCCTCAGACACCTGACACTTACTAGCTGTGTGACCCTGAGCAAGTCACTTAAGCCTGATTGCCTAGCCCTCCCCCCCAAAAAAAACCCAGGAAATAGAGGGGGATCTTGGGAAACAGAATGTGATCTTGAGGAAACAGAGGGAGATCTTCGGGAATAGAGGATCTTGGGAAATAGAAGGGGATCTTGGGGGGCAGAGGCTCACCATCAGGACATGGAATCTTCTGCACTGTACACCTCCTGGTCTCCTTAGTGCTGGGACAGACTGAACGGTCCCCAGACGGAGCCTGCAGCACAAGACGGGTCCGTTCTTCTGAACCCCTCCGGAAACCACAGAGCTTCTTCTTCTTGGAGCACGGCCCCCATGGGGACCACTCACTCATTTCACATTGTGCTAGGAACAAGGGCAGGGGCAAAATTGAGAAGAGCATTGCTCCTGGCTCCTGGTACCCTGTGACATATGGCTCTTCCTCCTTTCCCATATCCTTCCTTCCCATCTTCAGGGACCATGGGGCCAGACCTATGGTCTCTGGATCCAGGCTTCCAGATTCTGCCCCTCCCCCCCACACTTAGTACTGGAGCTCCCCAGTACCCTCACCAGGACTGCTGCATTCCATGGTACTGTTGGCTGCTGAGGAGCCCCCCGGACAGGCTGGGTAACAGCGACCCTTGTGAAGGTACAAGCCCTCCTTACATTTTGTGCAAAAATTGTGACTGAAGCAGGCCTCACAGTTCTCAATCTTGCATTCTGTGGGGAGAAACAGAGCAGAGAGCCCATCAGTCCAAGTCTCCCCATACCTTATAAATGCACACTCACCCATCATGCCTTTTAACCTCATCTGGCTCCAAACATTGCTCCAGTCAGTCAACAAGCATTTATTAAGCACTGACTATGTGCCAGGCACAGCGCCAAGTGCTGGAGATACAAAAAGGGCAAAAGGCAGTTCTTGTTCTCAAAGAGACTAATGAGGGAGAGGAAGCTCCTTCTGCCAGTGGAGATCAGGGCCTTTTCTTCATCTTACAGTCTTAGAGACTTGACTTGGCATTGAGAAGTTAAATCACTTTCTCAGGGTCCTACAGCCACTATGTGTCAGAGATGGAACCTGAACCCAGCTCCTCCTGACTCTGAGACTGGCTCTCTACTTCACCACATTGCCTTTAATTACACTAATGACTTTGTGCCTTATAATCTAATACTGCCCCCTTTCCGATCCAGAAATTGGGCATTACCATGGTCAGTGCTTAATAGATGCTTCTTGACTGAGGGGAGGAATGTCTGGAGCCAGATAAGGTAATAAAGGATGGGTGTGAGAGGGAGGGGGGCAGTTTGGATGGGGATTTCAGTCTTTAGGAAAGAGAGACTCTGGAAGGGCTTAAAGGGTCAAGGGCCCCCACTCCCATGCCCTTAAGGGGGCAGAGGGGGTGGGGACAGGCAAGCCCTCTGGATATTCCAGCTGTGCAAATTCACTTTACTTCCATGAGGAAAGGGAAGTCCTGCACCACTCACTGTTTCCCACCCCCAATCCTCACTCTGTCTCCTGGGACAGTGGACCAGAGGAGGAAAAGCGCTGTATTTGGACATTAGGAGAACTGTATAAAGTGCTGGGCCTGGAGTTAGGAAGACTCATCTTTGTGAGCTCAAATCTGGCCTCAGATACTTATTAGCTGTGTGACCCTGGGCAAGCCACTTAACCCTGTTTGTCTCAGTTTCCTCATCTGTAAAATGAGCTGGAGAAGGAGATGGCAAACCACTCCAGGATCTTTGCCAAGAAGACCCTAAATGGGGCCACGAAGAGTCGTTCACAGCTGAAATAACTGAACAACAAAGTTCAAGCAAGTCCTCATTCTGCCACTTATCAGCTGGGTAAGTCCTTTCCCCTCTGAGCCCATTTCCTCACCTGTAAAATTCAGGGGAAGGGGTCAGATGTAATGGACTCCAGGCTCCCTTCCCATGAGTCCTTTAGTAAATTGCCTTCTTTTGGCAGGGCCTAACTCTGGGGACCAGCATTAATAAGGCCCTGGTGACAAGTCTCCTCTGGGCCAGCTCTCCCTCCCTAGATTCCTAGAAACTTCAGAGTATTGTGCAGGGAGCAAGGCAGGGTTCGGCTGAGAACACAGGCAGTGACTCTTACAACCTTCTTCTTCCCAACGTGGCTAGGGGGGTGGGTCCCTCCAGTCCTGCCCTGGACTGTCAGGTTGTTTGGAATAGTCAAGGTCAAAGATCTCTAGTCCCTCCCCAATCCAATTCATGGCAGGCAGAAAGCCTAGGGTTCTACTCTCCAATGAACTGGTGGGACATCACTCAGTCTCATAGCCTTCCTACTTTGCAGCAGGTGATTCTCAATCTCAACCACTCTAACATTTGGGTTCCTTGGTAGGAGGCTAAAGGTATGGTGGGGGCAGGGGGAAGGTCAGGGATGGAGAGAAGGGAACAGGCTCATAAAGCCTTTTGGATATCTTCCTCATTCATCCCTTTTGTCTTGCCGTCACACTATCTCTACCTCTCAGCCTCTGCCCCTATCTGGATGAGTCCTGTTTCCTCACTTCCTTCCTCCCTGGCCTTGATAGCTACACACAGAAATGGTCCCTCCCATCTGGATCCCAACTTGGGCCCTGTTCTCTCCACCTCGCCATCTGGTTACAATTGCATGAGATGTTGCAGGTCTGTTCTGGTTATAGGTTAGGAAGGGATGGTGCAGGGGCATTGCCCAAGAAGCCTAACCCCATGGCTCTACACACATGCACATGCCTATACCCCCCTTCCTCCACTCACCAGTAAAGTGTGAGCTTCTTGAGGGCAGGGCTGGCTTTCATTCTGTGTTTATATCCCCAGGGCCTAGCACATAGTAGGCACTTAATAAATGTTTGGTGGATTAGATTTTATTTGTGTTTTTTTAATTTTTATTCAGAATTTAAGAAATAAAACAAGCCTTTCCATAACAACGTAGAATAGAAAAAGAGGATTGCACCTGAAAGTGCAGAACTATTATGTACAACTTGGTATTCTTTTTAAATATACAACAAAGGTATCCACGTTTTCGTGAAATGGAAATTTATTGTTTTATATTGAATTCTTGCTTATGATCTGCTGTGTCCATGGAAATATTCTTTTTTTTTAATCTTTTCTTTTGTATTTAAGTTCAAAATTGATAAAAAAAAATTTTAAATAAATAAATGCTTGTCGACTGAATGAATGATTAGCTTGGAGCCATGATGACCATAATCATAAATGGCTCTCAGTTATCCCTATGGAAGTAAAGATGAGCTATGGCCTAGAGCAGGAGTTCTTAACCTGGGGTCTACAAACTACCCAAAGGGCCTCTGGGTAGATTTCAGGGGGTCCATGAATATTTTAAAATATTTTGATAATTGTATTTCAATACAATTGGTTCCCTTAGTGACCTTATGTATTTCATTTTATGTGTTTTAAAACATTATTCTGAGAAGGGCTTCACAGGCTTGCTATACTACCAGAGAAGTCCATGACAAAAAACAAGTTAAGAACCCCAGGGTTAGAGAATTCCAAAATCACTCCTTATAATCATTCCTCTTGGAAAGCCTGAGGGCAGCAGTTACCTTCCTAATACTAAGCCTACATTTTTGGTGTTTGGAGGACTGCCTTTGCTCAGAGGCCCAGTAGAGTGCTCACACAGAGGAGGACGGAGTTAGCAAGAGATTAAATATCTGCTGCAGAGAATTCACAAGATGTGTAAGACTAAAAGTTATCTTTTCTTTTTTCTTGCACACTTAGTCCTCAGCATCTACCTCTAATGGTATAGCCACAGAAACTCTTCCAGAGAGGAAGTGAGCCTCATATTCACAGACTGTAGAGTTGAGAGGACCATGAACGTGAATGCTGGAAGAAACCTTAGAAAGCATGTCAGAACTGGGAGGAACCTTAGAACATAGAATGTCATGACTGGAAGGAACCTTAGAATAGGATGTCAGAGTTGGGAGGGGCCTTAGAACATAGAATGTCATCTGTGCTAACCCTTCATCAAATTATGACCAGCCCTAGTAAGTGGTTCTCTAGCTTTCACCTTAGAACTCGGAATGTTAGAGCTGAGAGGGACTAGAACACAGAACATAGAATACCAGAGCTGGAAGAGACCTTAGAATCTAGAATGTCAGATCTGGAAGAAGACATCTTAGAACACAGAATACAAAATGTTACAGGTGAAAGGAACCTTAGAACAAAGCATGTCTGGAAAGGACCTTAGGAATCATCTAGTTCAAACCCTAGACAGCTAGGTAGCCCAGTGGATAGAGCACTGGGTCTGAAGTCAGGAAGACTCAAGTTCAAATCTAGCCTCAGACATTTACTAGCTGTGTAACCCTGGGCAAGTCACTTAACCTCCATTTGCCTTAATCTACTAGAGAAAGAAATGGCAAATCACTCCAGTATCTTTGCCAGGAAAATTCCACAGACAGTATAATCCATAGGGTCACGAAGAGTTGGACCCAACTGAATGACTGAACAAGTTCAAATCCTGAACTTTGCAGATGGAGAAACTGAGGCCCAGAGAGTCAAGTGGCCCTAGGTAATAAGCGTAGTAAGTAGCAGAACCAGGATTCACAGCCAAGGTCCCTAACTCCAAATCCAAGGTTTCTTCTATGGTGCCATGTTGCCTTTAATCACTCACCTCAGCAAGGATGGGACTGGCCCTGTTGACTTAGCCATGGGACAGCAGGCCATGAAGCCAAGTGTCCAGGGACTGAAGCCACCCAGATCTAGCTCAGAGCCATTCCCAACCCCCCGCCTGACCTCCCCACTCACTGATACACTTGTTCATATCAGGGTTGCGGGCATCATAGTATCCAGGCGGGCAGGATGGCAGGCAGATTCCAACCTGCCGAATGTCATTCCTCTCCAGCAGGATGAAGAGCTTAGGGGAACACTTAAGGCAACCGTTGACCTCCGAGCACAGCTCACAGCCCTTGGCACAGGCCTGACTTCCCTCTGTGCTGACTGTAGGGGAAGGGGAAGAGAAGAGATAAGGGCAAAGATGGTAAACAGCACTGGAATAACCCCCTTCTCCCTGGCTAGAGAAGCACCCCCAGCTTTCCAGCCCCATACCTAAAAGGGAAACAGGTAAATCCAATCAACATTCTGCCTCCCCCGGAATGTCAGGAGTTCTCTCTGGGCCAGCAGCTATCTGCAAGCCTGCATTACAACTCAGCCCCAGTCTTATCCCTTCTCTCATCTCTGCACCTTCCTTTTCATCTCTGCTTATTGAAATCCCCTCTTCTGTTAAGGCCCAGGTCAGTTGCTACCTCCATATAGCTTTCCCTTATAAATTCCCTCCCCTCAACTAAAAATATTCTCCTCAAAGTTTTCTAGAACACTTTACCAAGATATTTCCTTTTCCTTTACCGCACTCTACCTTATATTACATTTGTAATGGGGGGAATTATAAAACCTTTAAAGGGCATTCATTCATGGAGCTGGACTGAGCTCTGCACAGGCTCTTTGGAGCCTGAGTGTGTGGTGGAAGTGGGGGCTTGGTGATTACTGCTGTTTTTATATACATATATATATATAATTATTTCTGTATATGCAACATCCCCTCTATTATATTGTAAGCTTAATGAGGGCAATAAGCAGGTTATATTTACCTTCCCACCCCCAGCCCTGGCACTTAGTAGAGAGAGCCCATAACTAACAATTTTTGTACTCAGGACCAGTGGCATGAAATACCCTCAAATACCATGGGGGAGTTGGGGGATGAGGGGGTAGGGAAGAGCTCCCCTGGGGTGCTGCTGCTAGAAGCAAATATACCATCTGGTACCTTCCTACGTTAAGTAAAGATCCTTGTTAATTAGATGCTAAACTCAATTGTTTCTAGGAGGCCAAAGGACTGGCAAATAGGGTCAGTGCTCTCTAAATTTCTCTTCCTTGGGCCAGAGCCCCAGTGACAGCTCTGATAAGCCTAATGAATGCTTGTGGGATTGAATTAAACAGAGGTGCTCTGTCTCCTATCCCCCAAAGAACAGCTATAACAGATCACAGGAAAGGTTCTCCTCACCCCATTGTTCTCCTACCCTCACCAGTCACTCAGTAAGGATCACACATTTCTCTTCTCTGCTCCATCTGCCTTCATGACCAGGCACTTGGTCACCTAAAGAAGTCTAGCTTTAGGTGGTGCAGTAGATAGAGCATTGAGTCAGGAGGACCTGAGTTCAAATCCAGCCACAAACACCTCCTAACTGTATGACCCTGGGCAAATCACTTAACCCCAATTGCCTCCAAAAAAAGGGGAAAAAAAAGAAGCCTAGCTTGACAGGTGCCTCTAGTATCTTCTTATCACCTTTTAGTCTTCCTCTTCCCTCCCCCTTCCATTCCATTAGGAGGAATGGGATCTCTTAGAAGCACTGAATCACACATCTGGAAGGGACCTCCAAGGTCCTTTAGGCTAACTCTTCACCAAATCATGATCACTCCAATATGTGGATCCCTAGCCTTGGCTTGAAAGCCACAAAGGATGGGGAACTCACTCCTTTACTGTAAAATGGGGGAAGCCTAAACAGAGTCAACCGTTTTCTATTCCTAAAGGACCTCTCCTTTACACACATTTCCCTTGTGCCATAATTTTTTTTAAAAAATCTTTTCTCCACTATAGTCCTCATCCTATTATGGACAAAGACACTATGCCACAAAATTAGGTCAAGAAACCCAACCATCCACAGACAGGCTGGCTTCATTGTATAATAGAAAATATTTTGGCTTTGTGACCAAAGGATCTGGGTTTGAGTTAGGGTTTTGCCACTTGCCACCTTTGTGACCAAATCACTTAACTTGGTCCTCAGTTTCTTCTGCTGTAAAACGAGGGGGGCAGGGTGGACTAGATGATTTATAAGGGTCTTCCCAGCCCTAAATAAACATATATTCCTTCTTTCATCGTGATAAAAAGATGGTGAAAGATGGGGTGGTAGAGAGAGAGAGAGAACCCAGGCCCTTATCAGCTGGAGTCTGAGCAGGAGACCACGGGGTAAAAATCCTTAAGAAAGTAGGAATCTCCTTTCCCAAGTTCTGAAACACCTGTCTCTCTTCCCTCTCTCCTACATCTCCTCTTTCCAAAATCTACTTGGTGCTGTTTTCAGGATCAGTCAGAGAAATGCTCTTTTCAGTGCTGAGGGGCTAAAGCCAGGCCAGATTCTTAAAGAAGGGCAAATGCCTTGGAGATAGATCGTCCTGGAATGAGGGAGGCCATAGCCAGTGCCCATCCCCTCCCTCCCATTCATTTCTCCTCTGCACTCCTAAAACCTGGTATTCAGACTTCTGCTAGGTCCAGGATTTCCAGCCTGTTTGATGTTTTCCCTGGCTTGGCCAGTCTTTTTTTTTTTTCATTTTAATCACAGAAGCCAGTGACACATGTTGGGTAATATTAGCTATAGCACTTAGAGAGGGAGATCGGCATAGAGGACAGAAGGCTGGCCTCAGAGTCAGGAAGCTCTGGGTGGAAATCCTGACCTCTGATACATCCTGGCTGTGTGACCAGGGGCAAGTTCCTCTACTTCTGAGTTATCCGAGTGTATATTTGTAGCTGGAAGGAGACTTAGAAGTTGTTGAATTCAACCTCCTCATTTTATGGATATTGAGACCTCTGGAGGTACAGAAAAGTCAAGTAGTAGGCAGCTAGATGGCACAGTGGATAGAGCACCAACCCTGAAGTCAGGAGAACCTGAATTCAAATCTGGCCTCAGACACACAAAACTCACTAGCTGTGTGACTCTGGGCAAGTCACTTAACCCCAATTGCCTCACCAAAAAAAAAAAAAGTCAGGTGTTTTGTTTAATCTATCAATCTAGAAACATTTATTTAGCACCTACTATGTGCTAGGCACTATGTTTAAGTATTGGGGATACAAAGGAGCCAAAAGGCAATCCTTGCCCTCAAGAAGCTTACAATCTAATTGTTCAGGGTCACATACCTGCCAAATATCTGAGGCAGAATTCGAACTCAGGGTTTTCCGGCACCAAGTCAGGGCTCTGTTTACTACATCAAGGCTCTTTCAAGCTTCCTACTCTGTAAAGTGAGGGGGCTGGAGTGGACAACCTCTGAAGTCCATTCCAGTTCTAAGACTGTAAATTATAGACAAGTCAACAATTTGTATCTGTGAAAGGAATTCCCACACTGGGAGTTCCCCATATTGTTATGATCACTGGTCTAGTTGCTCCTCCTCCCTCATTCTGTTAATGTGTGATATAATTATGTACATACATATTTAATCTGCCTACCTCCATGCCCCAATAAAGTGGGGACAAAGACCATTTGTCATTCATCTCAAGAGAAGCCACATGGTATATATAATAGAAAGGTTTCTGATCCCATAGTCAGAGAAGCCTGGGTTCCAATCCCACTGCTAACACTTGTTAGATGTCTGACCTGGATAAGTCACTAATGCTCCCTGAGCCTCAGTTTCTTCATCTGTAAAATGGGGTTAATGATATTTGTAATGCAGTGGAGAGAGGGCCCTATAAAGCAGACCATGGAGTCAGGAAGGCTGGATTTGATTCCTTTTCTTCACATACACTAATTGTGTAAATATAGGCAAATCTCTTGACCTCTCAGGTGCAAATATATATATATATATATATATATGTATTTTATATATAAGTATTTTTTAAAGGCAATTGGGGTTAAGTGACTTTCCTAGGGTCACACAGCTAATGTCAAGTGTTTGGTCTGAGGCTGGATTTGAACTCAGGTCCTCCTGACTTCAGGGTCAGTGCTCTATCCACTGTGCCACCTAGCTACCCCACAGAACAACTATCTTAAGACTGCACATTACAGACAAGTTGCCAAGATTAGTGGAGGGAGTTTCCACATTGGCAGTTTCTTTCCCTCTCCAGTGAAAATGACAAATCCAAATGTCATGGTTTATGATAATAAACTGCATCTAATATAGTGCTTTAAGATTTAAAAACCATTTTAAATACATTATCTCATTTGCTAGTCACAACATCCTTCTGAGGTAGGTACTATTGTTATCACCATTTTACAGATGTGGAAACTGAGGTAACATAGGTTAAGTGATATGTCCAGGGTCGCCCAGCTAGTTGCTAGGGTGGGATTCAAACACAAGTCTTCCTGATTCCAAGTTATGTGCTCAATCCTCCATACAGGAATGCTAAAGAAAGCTTTGGTGGGCATTGGAAGGAGATGTCACTAGAAAGCAACTTTTATCCACTTACCAAGCCCTTTCCTTTACATGCCTAGAAGGTCAGGGTCACTGGAGCACCAGGGTAGAAGGAAGACAAGGGTCTCTCCTACCTCCCCCTGGAGCTCCATTTCTTGCCCACAATTCTCACACGAACTTACTCTTTATCCCCATCACAAGGTTCCAACTCCTCTCAACTTTCATATCTAAGTTCCTAGGAAGCAGAGACTTCTATTGGAGACGGGGGAAAAGGAGAAAGTAGAATATCACTGACCCAGGGCTGGAGCCCATCTGGTCTTCTGGCCCGGCAAGGGTAGCAAGGCAAGCCCACTAGTTGTTATCTAGAGGTCTGGAAGTCTGAATCACAAAGGTGGAGGGAAATTCTGAAGGGACCCTCCTCTTTCCCATACAGAAGACCGAAAGTTTTGGGAAACCAGCCCACTGGGCACTGTCTAGGTATCAAACTCTGGCTGCTTTCTCTCCCAAGTCCCTTGAAAGAGCCAAAACATTGCTACCAGATGTGTTCTCCTTTTACCCCCTGAAGAAACCCACTCCCCTGTCTGGGCACCTGTCTTAATGCTTTTAAGAGCACTGGCCTGGGAGTCAGGAGGCCTGGGTTCTCATCTGAGTTCTGTCATGGACTCTTGTGACCTTCTGTCTTTCTTTCCTTTCTTTCTTTCTCTTTCTTTTTCTCTCGATTTCTTTCTTTTCCTTCCTTCCTTCCTTCCTTCCTTCCTTCCTTCCTTCCTTCCTTCCTTCCTTCCTTCCTTTTGTTATCTCCCCATTAGAATGTGAGCTCCCAAAGGTCAGGGACTGTCTTTTAACTTTCTTTGTATCCCCAACACTTAGCACAGTACCTGGCACATAGTAGGTGCTTGGTAACTGTTTCTTTGTTTGTTTTTTAGGCAATTGGGGTTAAGTGACTTGCCCAGGGTCACACAGCTAGTGTCAAGTGTTTGGTCTGAGACCAGATTTGAACTCAGGTCCTCCTGACTTCAGGGCCAGTGCTCTATCCACTGCACCACCTAGCTGCCCCTTGATAACTGTTTCTTGACTGAGCTTGAACACTTTTCTTTGAGCATCAGTTTCCACATCTGTAAATGGTCTAATGCACTAGATGGTCTCTATGGGTCCATCCAAATCTTTTCTGGTTTCTGTATTCTAAGGTCCCTCATACTTCTATATTCTATGTTCTATGCTAGTAGTAATAACAACTTACATTTATATGGCATTTTAAGGTTTGCAAAACCACTTTATATACAGTATTTCCTTTGAAGCTCATGATACCCCTTTAGTCAGATGCTATGATTGTTATTCCCATTTTACAGGTGAGGAAATTGAGGCAGAGAGAGGTTAAGTGACTTGCCCAAGGCAATATAGCTATTAAGTATCTGAAGTGAAATTCAAACTCAGGTCCCACTAACTCTAAGTTCAGCACTCTTTCCATTATACCACTCTGTCCCTTAGATTCCTTTCATTTGTGATTCTCTATTTTAAGGTCCCTTCCCTCTCTGCCACTTTATGTCCTGCATTCTCTCCTAACTTCAATATTCTTTGTGCTAAAATCCCTCCCAGCTCTGACCTTCTCTGTTCTAATGTCCTCCCCAGCTCTGATAATCTATGAATCCACAAGATAGGGATGCTAATAATCCTTGCTTTGCCCTGCCCTGCCTTCTCTCACAGGGTCACTGTGAGAACCCATGAGAGAATGGGAGTGAAAACATTTCTTAATCTGTAAATCACCATATATATAAACAAATGGAAGGCATGCTTATGTCTTACGGTCTTTGGGCTAAAGTAAATTACCAAGGCCAGGTGAATGAGACCACACAGCAGGTTCAATGTTATTCAGCGGCAATGCCCTGGCTGGAGCTGACCCCCTCCTTCCTTGCTTCCCTTCTCTCCCTTAGCTGTTGCAAAAAGCATCAGATGACAAACAAGGCATCTCCAGCAACGTGCATAATTTGAAAAGTAAGTCTCATAAGTATTTCTCTTAAATTTGGAATTTCACCATAGTCTTCTTTTCTGCTAACAGATGGAATTCCCTAATGATGCTTTACTTCAGCTGATATTAAAAGCAACATGCATGTCCCAAGTACTCTGTTGACAACTAGTTGGGAAGAACTCCCCAAGGGACTAGGCAATGGAGGGAAGCTGGCCCAGCACTGGATTGTTGCCACAGACAATCTATCAAACAGAAAATAATAAGTTTCCATTTCGATAGCACTTTACAATTCACAGAACACGTTCTTCACAATAACCCTGGGAGATAGGCAGGGGAAGTGTTATTAATCCCATTTTACAGATTGTAGAAACTGAGGATCAGACAAGCCACAAAGCATAGTGTTCAGGTTTGGCTACTCCACCTCATTCTGCTTGACAACAGAGGGGTGAACTAGGACCACATGGAGAATAACAATAGCAGCATCTAGCATTTAGGTAGCACTTTGAGGTTTGCAAAGGGCTTTGCACATAGCAATTCATGAGATTCTCACAACACTATAAGGGAGGTGCTATTATTGTCTCCATTTTACAGATGAGGAAACAGGGTCAGAGAAGTTAAGTGGCTTGGCCAGGGTAAAAAACTAATGAGTAGCAGAGGTAGGATTTGGACCCAGGTCTTTTTGGATTCCAAATACAGCTCTATCCTCTAAGCTATGCTTCCTTGACAGGAGGGATTCTAAACCTAGGGTTTGTGAACATTTTGTGTGTATGTGTGTGTGTGTGTGTGTGTTTGTTAGGCAACTGGGGGTAAGTGACTTGCCCAGGGTCACACAGCTAGTATGTATCAAGTGTTTGGTCTGAGGCCGGATTTGAACTCAGGTCCTCCCGACTTCAGGGCCGGTGCTCTATCCACTGTGCCACCTAGCTGCCCCTGAACATTTTTTTAACATGCATTTCAATGTAATTGATTTCCTTTGTAATTCTGTGTGTTTTATTTTATGCCTTTAAAACTACAATTCTGAAAAGGGTCCACAGGTTTCACAAAGGTTAAAATATAAAGAGAAAAGAGAAACCCTACCTATAGGAAGTTTACAGGGGAAAAGACTTTAGCTCAACATCAGAAAGAACTTCTTATTAATCAGAACTGTCAAACAACTCAATGGGCTGCCTCGGGAAGTAGTGAGCTTCCCATCATTGGAGGTGTTCAAATAGAGGCTAGAGGACCATTTTCTGGGGATAACACAGAGGAGATTCCTACATCAGGGACCTCTGAGGTTCCTATGAATCTAAGATTCTAAGTTATGATAAAAATGACATCCCTGGTGTCCTTCTCTCCTCCCCTACCCCAAGCCACCTCAGACCTGGCCCTTTACGTACTCCGCCTCTGCCTCTTCCCCTTCAACCCTCGGCTGCTGCCAGCAAGATGCATCCAGCTTAGAGTGAGGACCACCACCAAGAGTCCAAGCCGCATAGTCACTTTCCAGCTCCTGGCCCCCTGGAAGGCAGCGTGATTTGGGGGCACCTGGCTCCAGCTAGTGGCTGCAGAGCTGGGTCAGCGAGGTGGGTCCCAGGGCTGGACCATAGCTCACAGCTACCATAATCTCAGCTGGTGATGGAAATGGGCAGGGGAGGCCCAGCTCTGCTGTCAGCCCCATAGCGGATTCAGAAGTCTCTTCCCCACCTCAGAGGCTGGGGGCAGAGGTGGGAAGAGGGGCACCGTCACATCCGGGGACAGCTGCTTTATAACTTCTGCTGGGACATTAAGGCACAGTCACACCAAACTGAAACCTGAAGGGGAAAGGGGAGAAGGAGGCATTTAATCAATCAATCAATTAATCAAGCAAGCATTATGAAGCCCCCCCCCAAATCCCCTTGTCTCAGCTTTGTCCTTTCCCTGCACCGAAATCTTGGTATTTTCTTAGGAACACATGGCATATTACGGACATGGGGAACCAAAGCTGCTAATATCCACAAAAGTAAGTGCTTAGCGGGTGCTGTACACACCACCTCCTTAATCCTTCAGAGCAGCTCAGCCCCTCCTCTACCCCAGAGCATTGTCCACTCTGAGGCATAAGGGAGTTCTGAGAGAGTCATGGCTCCGCTGGTGTGGTGTGACTACCTGCAGCATCCCTGTCATTTCTCAGAGCCCATTTTAGGAAAGATATTGACAACTTGAAGCAATTCAGATCCAGAAAAGACGAGACTGGAAAGAATGCCATGCAAGGATCGATCAAAAGAACTGCTGGTGTTTAGCTTAGAGAACAGTATTAGCAAGCATTTATCAATCATTTACTTAGCGTCAGTCACCTAGTTAAGTGCTGGGTATATTAAAAAAAAAAAAAGGAAAAACAGTTCCTGATCTCAGGGAGATTACATTCTAATGGGGGAGACAAGATGTATATAAGTAGTCATGTATAACATACATATAGAGGAGAGAGAAGATAAACTGAGAGGGGAAAGCACTAGTATCTAAGGGGCCTAGGAAATCAATCATTCATATGCCAGGCACTGGGGATATAAATACAGAGAATGAAAAAATTCCACACATGTATACGTATGTGCATGTATATATGTGTGTCTAGTATAAATCAAAATGTGAGTCAATATAAATATATCCAAAGTATATACAATACAGTAGAGGCGGCTAGGTGGCCAAATGAATAGAGCACTGGGCCTGGAGTCAGGAAGACATCCTCCTGAGTTCAAATCCGGCCTCAGACACTAGTAGTAGTGTGACCCTGAGCACGTCACTTAACCCTGTTTGCTCCAGTTTCCCCATCTGTCAAATGAGCGGGAGAAGGAAATAGCAAACCACTTCAGTATCTTTGCCAAGAAAACCCCAAACGAGGTCACAAAGAGTCACACAAAACTAAAACAACCAAACAATAACAAAGTTAAACACAATAGTTTGAGAGGAAGGGCACTAGCAGTTGGAGGCATCAGAAAAGTCTTCACGTACAAGGTGGTGTTTGAGTTTCATCTTGAAGGAAGAAAAGGTCTCTGAGGTGGAAATAAGAAGGAAATACATTTAAGGTATGTGGGATAGCCAGTGCAAATACATGGAGATAGGAGATGGGAGTGTCCATGTATGAGGAACAGACATAAGGACAGTTTGGTTGGATTGAAGTGTGGAAGGGAAAGTAATGTCTAGTGATGCTGGAAAGATAGGTTGGAGCCAGGCTGTGTTGGGTTTTTAAAGTTAAACAGAGAAATATATAGTTTATTCTAGAGGTAATAGGAAGCCAGTAGAGTTGATTGAGGTGGGGGGAGGGTCACGTGGTTAGATCAGCCCTTAAAAGGGAAGTTTGGAAGAAGGGAGGTTTCAAGGGGAAAGATGATGAATTCGGTTTTGGACATGTTAAGTTTGAGATGTCTCTGGGAACCCCGTTTGCAATATCCAGCAGACAGTTAATGATGAACAACTGAAGCCCAAGGGAGAGAATGGGGCTAAATATATAGATCTAGGAGTCATCTGCATAGTTGTTATTATTGAGTCATTCCAGTTGCATCTGATGCTCTCTGATCCTATTTTGGGGTTTTCTTGGCAAAGATACTGGAGTGGTTTGCAATTTACTTTTCCAGCTCATTGTGAGGAAACTGAGGCAGACAGGGTTAAGTGACTTGCCCAAGGTCACACAGCTAAGTAAATGTCAGACTAGATTTGAATTTATGAAGATAAGTCTTCCTAATGCCAAGCCCAGGGCTCTATCATTGTGCTACCTAGCAGCCCCTATCTGCATAAAGATGACAGTTAAACTTATTGGAGCTGTTGAGGTTACTAAGAGATTGTTGAGAGATGTGAGAGAAGGCATAGGATAGAACGCTGGGGAACTTACACAGTTAGAGGATATGATGAGGTTGATGAGAAAATAAAGGAGACTAGAAGGAACAGGAAGACAGGCGGGGAGAGAACCAGGTGAAAGTAGTGTCACAAAAACCCAGAGAAGACAGAGTATCCAGAAAGAAATGGTGGTCAGCAATAGCAAAAGCAACACATAGGTCAAGAAGGATGAGGACTGAGACAAGACCATTAGATCTGACAATTAAGAGATCATTGGTAACTTTAAAGAGAGCAATTTCAGTTGAGAGATGAGGTTGGAAGGCAGATTACAAAGGATTAAGAAATGAGTGAGGACAGGAAGTGGAGGCAACAGGTACAGACAGATTTTTCAAGGAGTTTGGCTAAGAGAGGAAGGAGAGACATATAGGACCATAGTTGGAGAGGATTGTAGGATCTAATGAAGGTGTTTAAAGAATAGGGGGAAAAAATAAAGAGTAGGGGAGATACGGTTACTTGAAGATGCTCGAGAAGGTGCCATTTGAACTGAGGAAGCTAGGGATTCTAAAATGCAGAGGAGAGGAGGGAGAGCATTCTAGGTAGGAAGTCCTAAGCAGGAACTTTCTAACAATCAGAGCTGAGCTTCAGTGAAATGGACTGACCCATAAAAACGTCAATTAACATTCTGATAGTACTTTAAGGTTTGCATAGCACTTCATATGCATTGGCTCATTTTCATCTCACAACCTCTATGGGGAAGTGTAATTATTATAATCGCCTTCCCCCATTTTACAGAGGAGGAAACTGAGGCTCAAAGAGATTAAGAGATTAAGGACTTGCCCAGGGTCACACAAGCTAGTAAGTATGTGAATTGGGATTGGAATCCATTGGAAAGCTTAAGTCCCATTCCATATCCACTATGTCATGCTACTTCTTTTCATTTGATCCTTATGACTCTAGGAGGTAGGTGCTATTATTAAGCCCTGGTTTACAGGTGAGGAAACCAAGGCTCAGAAATATCAGGGGATTTGTCCTAAGTTACAATGCTAGTATTACCTGAAATTTGAACTCAAGCCATTCTGATTCCAAGTCCACAGTTCTTTCTACTCTACGGTGATGCATTTCAAAAAGAGTGAGCTCCCTGTCCCTGAGGATGTTCAAGCTAGATGACCTCCAAACCCCCATCCCCCTCCCCCCTTTCCCCAAGTCAGAGCTACTTGACAATCCTTTGGCTATCAGAAGAGGGTGAACCTGTTTTCTCCAAACCTTCAATCTCTAAGGCTTCACCCTTCCTTGGGGTCCACTTTCTCCAGCTCTGTGGGTATTGGTTGGATTCTGTCCCTCTCTCTGGCCTGGACAGGTCGGAGAGAAGTGAGACTTCCTGGGGGCATAGAAACTTCTGACACAGCAGGGCCGGCGGCCACTGCCATTGTGCGGGAATAAAAGAGGCAGCAGGCGCCACTCAGGCCAACGACACAGAAAATTAGGCTAATCCCCCCTGGCAGCTTTGCTGGCCAGAGTGACCCAGACAGCCCCGAGTCCATCCCCTTCCTCTCTTCTCTCCCTATCAACCCCCTCCTCCCACCATCCCACCCAGCACAGCCAAGGGATGAGAGTCATGGGGATCCACAGAGCAGAGGCTATGTCCCGGAAGTTTGATTATGTAGCCTCTGAGCCCATCCTGGGAACATAACCCTTTCCACACACATTCATTCACACTCACCCTTTCATACTTAATCACACTCCCTTCTGCCCATTCTTCCCCTAAAGTCCTCTGATGCCTCATTGTGGCACTGAGATGACGGTGGCTTCTCGAAGAGTCAAAACCAAAACAAAACAGGACAACAAAACAACCTTTTTTAAGGGTAAAGGCTCCCAGCTAGTAAGCATGAGAGGTGGGACCCAGGTCCCTCTGACTTTAGAATCAGTGCAGTTCCCACTGAACCAACCGCCTCCTCAATCAACTGAGATAATGCAGGGAAAGTGCTAGCAAAACTTAGAGTGCTGTATGCTTGGCAGCTGTGGTGGTGGTGGTTAGAATCCACCTCCAGCCTGCTCCCCTAAAAGGGAAACCAGAAGAGGGAGACTTTTCATCTCTGTCTCCATCTTTGCATATGGCTAGAATGTGCTCCTTTCTCACCTCTGCCTTTCCAAATCCCTAGCTCCCCTGAGTCTTTACACATCTGTAATAGCACAGTTCGGGGCACTCACAAAATCGAATCCCACGATGCCACTGCTGAAAGGCAGTGTGGTGTAGTAGGAGAGAGAGAGAGCCAACCTTGGAAACAGGAGGACCCAGGTTCACACCGTCCCCCTGCCACAAGTCCCTTCCTCCTCTCCATGCCCCAGGCTAGCATCAGTCCAAGTGGTGGTGGGAGTCACTTCACTAGTAAGATCCAGAAATTTAGTACATTCATACTTGAACCCTTGTCTCCCTCAGGGAACACATTTATGCATATTTAAAGTATATAGCATTTGTATACTTTAAAGTTGCAAAGCAATATATATACACACATACATATAAATGCGTGCACACACACACACACACATATATATATATATACATATATATATATATACATATATATATATACATATATATAGATATATACATATCTATCTATCTATCTATCTATATATATATATCTCAAATCTTGTTTGATTCTCACACCAGTCCTGTGAGGTAGGTGTCATTATTGTTCTTTTTTTGCAGATGAGGAAAGAGGCTGAAAGAGGTTAAGTGGCTTGCCCAGGGTCACATAGCTAATGGGTGTCTGAGGCAGGATTGAACCCAAGCCTTTCTGATTCTAAGTCCAGCACTCAGGGTAACTGTCTCCTTAGTCCCTAGACCCTGAATCCTCTAGATTGGAATGGACTGGATGGGGTCCTGATGAGTCCAGGGAGCCTGGCTTTTCTGACACCTCTGTCAGAAGAGTCTGTCCCTCCCTGAGATGGGCCTCTCCTTCCTCAAACTCTCCTCGAAGAAGCCCAAAAAGATAAAAATGTCCATCGGGAAGATCAGGGAACCTCCCCGGCCCCTACTCCTTCTCTTCCTAAACTCCTGTATCATCCCCTCACTGCCTGCCCTGAGACACCCAGATTTCCCATCCCCCAACCCCTTGACAATCAGCTCTCCTATCCCAGAGTTTCTCCAAGCCCACCAGGGGAGGAGATAAATCATTATCTAGCTGGAAGTTCAGGACCTCCCTCCCTTCCTCACCCAAGACCCTCCACCCCACCCCCACCCAAGCTTTGAAGGCTAGACTAAGCTCAAGTGGTTAAGCTGCCTGGGAAGAGTGTTTACTCGAGGCTGAGGGATCTCGTCTGGCGTTTCAGTAGAAGCCTGCAGGGAATCCTCAGTCACCCCCAAACACCTCCCTCGCCTTATAAGTCTCCTCTGAACTACTCCTCCAGTGACAACCCAGGTACCTACCAATGATCCACTCAACCTCCCTGCCTCTTTTCTCTCCACCTCGCCCCTCCAACTTTTCCCAGTCATCCTGTCTGCTGCCCTTGCCACTTACTTTTCTTTCCAAAGATCCTCAGTCTATTCCTAGCAATTACAGTATTACAGAATGTTAAAATTGGAAGGGGCCATAGGCATGCCAAGTTCCCACACTGATGGTCAGAAGAATGAGTGAGTTGGGGTGGGGGCACAATCTGCTGGGATCATCATCATAGAGATGAAGGTGAAAGCTCCGGAGTACATAGGAGGGGATTGAAAGAGGCATGCACCCTTGGTGGGGGGTGGGGTGGGATGGGATGTGAAGCCTTTGTTTCATAGAATTATCGCTAGAAGGGACCTTCTAGCAACCATCCAGACCAACCTTTTCATTTTACAACTGAGGAGGACCAGAGGGGCTAAGATGTCCACACAGAAAGTTAGGCACAACAGTCAGTAGAGCTGGTGCCCAGGACTCCAGATTTCTTTTTCCGTAACTGTAAGACATCTGGCAGAAAGACTTCAAAATATCCAACATCCTCAAAGATGCCTGAAACCTGGTATATTAAGAATGACAGTCCCATTGAACACATACTCAGAAGGGAGGAAGGACTGAGCTGACTGACTTTCTTGTAAGCTACCTGAGTTCTTTTAGGTCTCCGGCTGATGGCTATCACTCACTCAGTCAATATGTATTTATTAAGCACTTTACTATGTGCAAGGCACTGTGCTAAGCACTGGGGATTCAAAGAAAGGTAATAACTGGGAAACTGGCAGAGAAATCAGTGACCTAAAAGTCTGGGCTCTATACTGAGAGGAGGTTGGGAGTGGGAACTGGCTGGGGGCCTGTACATATGGATTGGGGCATGCTGGGCAGGTGAGTGAGTCCAGACAGAAGGGCAGTTTCTAAAGGACTTGTCTCTGAATGGCATGTGGGCAGAAGGATTAAAAGGAGGGAAAGGGGGCAGGGAATTGAGTGCGAAGTTGGGGGACAGGGCTGGTCCCTTCTCACCAATATTCAGTTATCAGAGAAGATGGGATGGGGGAGAAGGTTCATGAATATAAGGGAATAAATAGACGTTGCGCTCCAAGGCCACCAAGTTGGAGGGGCCCCCAAACTTAATTTTACATGACACTACACTGTAAATATGATCTCTCATTGGAGGGCTCCTGGTGACTGTGCTGCCAAAGGGCCCCACCTGTTCTTAATCTTCCTGGGGTGGGAGAGTCCCAGCTTCCCTCCTCCTTTCCTTTTCCCCTGTGAAATGCCATCTTCAGAAGAATGAGGAGGCACTAGAACAGGGGTTCCATTTATGTTTCATCCCAAAATACAAGGAGGGGGTGTTAGCTAGAGATTGTTACCCACAATATGGGAGTGGGGTTGATGGATGGCAAAGAGGGAGATCCAGCTGAGGGCCATGACAAGGGAGAGAGGGACACAGCTGTAGGGTTGTGACTTGGGTGAAAAGGGACACAGCTGGGGGCACTGTGGTCAGGGAGAAAGTAGCTAGGGTTGGAGTGGGGAAGAGAGGGGAGGGGGAGGGACACAGCTGGGGAAGGGGCATGACTGAAATAACTTTCACTCTCTTGTTTGCAAATTCAATCAGGATAAATTGGTGCTTGGGAGCCTGATACAAACAAAAAATGTAAACCATCCCCATCCTCTCCTCCCTCCCCTTTACTCTTTGGGGGATGGGGGCTGTGCACTGGGGAGAGGTTTGGAGCCTAATCCCATCACTGGCCCAGCCTGAGCTGATGTATTACACCTCCGCAGACTGGCAGGGGGTGGGGGAAAGGGGCTGCAGGGGGCAGCCCTAATGTAAACCTGACCTGTGGGAGATTTGTGTCTCCCTCAGATAGAGCTGAGCCAGATGCTAAGGGACCCAGAAGGTGAGGAGAGGCCCCTCCCATGGGGGGGGAGGGAGGAAGTGGAGTAGAGAGCAAATAAAATTTTTCCTTCTCTCATGGGCCTTCCCCAACCCCAGAGTCAACCCAGGTCACACTCTCTACCCAAGAGATTCAAGTGAAGCCCTCTCCCCCCCTTCAGCCAGGGGCCAGGAGAAGCACTCCCTTGGGATCCAAGTGTCCACAACGCAGCAAAAGATAAACCCAGGAGACTTCTTCCAGTCCCTGCTTAAGTGTGATCTCCACCCAGTTCCCCTACCAGGCTTCATCTCATTTCAATCTACATCTCTGTCCCCAGTAAGTATGGGGCAGGGGGGGTTGAGGGGGGCAAGGGGTAGGTCGGGGAGTGGGGGGGAGGAGAACAGTGATGGGAGGAGGCAAAAAGAGTAGTAAATTACCCTCTCACTCCCTGACTCCAGTTCTTTCTATCCCTTAGCTGGCCACACAGCGCTCCCCCTCTGAACAGTACCAGGACAGAGGCCTGAAGAAAGTTAGGGATGGGGAAGGGGGGGTGGCAATGGATAGGGAGCATTGGAATAGAGAATTTGGCGGGGAAGGGGGGCTGAGGCAATGTGACTCTGGAATGGGGGGATAGAGGCCTCCGGGATAGGGAATTCCTTCATCTGGGTCCCTTGGCTATCCTTACCACTGCTTCAGGCCCATAAGGCAGGTGCTGGAGACAAACGGGGTTCTTGTCCCACGTGCCCCCTCCCCCTATTACTCCCCTTACCCAAAGGAAGAGGCGGATCTGTCCAGTCCTGGGCTCCCAAGCTGCCCAGTCCACTAGAACAGAGGCTCTTTTGGTGGGAGGAGATGCCGAGCTCTGGTCACTCCATCCACCCCTACCCAATTTCAGGTAGAATCAGGATCTCTGCTCTCAGTCCCAGATAGGACCGAGATGTGGGCGTCCTTACCTCGGCTGGTTTCGCGATCCCCCAAATCCTACTAGGCTTGGGCCCCAGCTGTCCTGTTCCGTCTGATGCAGTCCTGAAGGCAGGGACAGGGGCCCGGGCAGGGGCCGGGAGGGGGCGAGGGGCGCTGCCGGCCAGCCCCCGTGCGCCCAGCCTCCCGCGCCCCCTCTCCTCCGCTTTGCTAGGCTCAGCTCCTCCCGCTCCCAAATTGCTCAATCTGCTAGCAAGGGAGCAGAGCCCGAGGCTCACCCTCTCCAGGGCTGGTGCCCCACCCCTCCCTTCTGTCCCTCGGCACCTCCCCTAACGCCCGCCCGGCCCCGCCCCGCCCCGCCCCGCCCCGGGCTCTGTTTGGATCGTTCACTACCCTTCGCAAGCTGATGTCTCTGAGAGAGAGATCGTGCCTTTATCTCTCGTCTTTTTACTCCTCTCTGTGTATCTCTGGCAGCGTGCGTCTGACTTTCTGTCTCCTCTGCCCAATTGGTTTCTTTCTATCTTTCTCAATCTCTTTCTCCCCTCCCTCGCAACTTCCAGTGAAAGTGTGTCTGTTGCATTATCTCAGTCTGTCCCCCGGAGCTTCAGACTCAATGAGGGGTTAATTCTCTCTGTTCCCACAAGGCGGGGAATCCCCAACCCCCCCTTTCCCTTTCCAGTCCTGTTCTCCATTCTTTCTCCTCATCCCCCAGATTCTCAGCCAAAACTGGATTGGAGCAGGCCCTTGAGAGTTCCTCAGCCCCTTCCCCAACCTGAGGAAGGGAGGGTCCTGTGAAGAAGGGCCAGAGAGCTTGTGGTAGTGGTGGTGGTCCTGGGAGGGAGACTTGTGTCAGAGTAGATATACTCAGGAGGGCTTGTACATAGTGAGATCTCGATAAATATTTGTTTAGTGGAGGTGCTATGCTGTGAGGAGAACACTAGCCTGGGACACAGAAGACCTACTTGGACCTGCGTTTGCTACTTAGTACCTGTGTGACTTTGGACAAATCCCTTCTTCCAGGGCCTCAGTTTCCCCATCTGTAAAATGAGGGGGCTGGACTAGAGGAGTTCTAAGTGCCCTGTCAGCTCTGACATTTTGTATTCTATGATTCATGTCTCGTTTGAACACAAAGACACTCTTAAATGTACTTGCTTAAGTCTTCACCCTCCAGGTCACACCCAGTGGAATAACGACCCAACTTGAGAAGCCCTGGGCTGAGAATCAGAACACTGAGCTCCTCTGTGATCCTTTGTTCCTTCTGGAGAGGACCTTGGAGATCCTCTGTTCTGATGCCCGTATTTGACAGGGAGAGAATCTGAGTCCCCCCAAAGAGGGAAGACTTTCCCAAGGACACCTAAGGAGTTGGCATCAGAGCTAGGTATCTAACCTAAGTGCAGAAAAGGGCCCTCAGAAGCCAGTATACTTTCTACAAGCTCTCTGGAGAACCCACATCAAGTCTTGGATTGGGGAAAATGAAGAGATCACAGAGGAGTTTTGCCTGGGGTCTGGGGAGCCTCATGTCTCTTCATTAATGGAATTACTCCCAAGGATGTAGGAATGGTGTCTCCAATGGATCCACCCAGTCAATAAGAAGGATGTTGTAGGAGGCCAGCTGTCTTTCATGTGCACACATACACCCTCACATACGTACATAGCATGGCACAATGGGAAAAGCTCTACCTCTGAAGTCACATACTAGCAGGGCAATTTATTGCTATGTGACTTTGGGGAAATCACTTAACTTCTCTGGGACTTAATTTGCTCACCTAGAAAATTCAGGGATTGGATGAGATAACCTCTAAGGTCCCTTCCAGCTTTAAATATATGATCTGGCATCCAGATCTAGGTGTAGGAAGCTGTATGCCTCATGGCCCCCAGAAGAACACCTGAGTGTCAATATTGGCTCCACTCCTTACTACTAGTAAGTAGTACTGTTTTGGGAAAATTCAATTCAATTAAATGATCAATTAGCAAAGGTCTAATATGTCCAATCCCTTAATCTCCAGGCCCATTTCTTCATCTGTAAAATGAAGGGGGGGGATTTCTGAGATTGCTTCCAAGTCTGAATCTTGTGTTATGAGGACAAGGACTATGGACTGGCACAGTAGGCATGGGGATAGCATGATCAATCTATCTCTGCTGAGGACTGAACAAAGAAAGATGGGCTGAAATTCTAGCCAGGAGGATCCTAGACCTAGTGCTGGAAAGGACCTTAGAGGTCATCTAGTCCAACCCCTTCATTTTATAGATGAGGATTTGAAGAGGTTAAATGACTTGCCCAAAGTCACACAGACAACGACTGAGCCAGCATTCAAACTCAGTTCCTATGACTCCAAATTCAGCAATCTTTCTATTTACTGCACCAGAATTTGTTGCTGTCTGTCCTTTGCTCTCAAAGAGGCTCTTGTCATCAGCAAGGTGATGTCATGACATGCAAGTGAATTGATTTAAGTAAAGCAAAGCTGTGCAAAGTCACCAGCCTCACTCTCTCCTCCTTCCTATCAGAATTTAGGTTAGATGTGAAGAAGGACTTCCTGACTTGCAGGGGTGGGGTGGCCCCCAGAAACAGCTAGCAGACGGAGGCTGCAGAATCTATCCCTGGTTAACAAGAGAGAAAGAAAGAAGCCTGTCCTTGTAGGTGGCAGTGGGATTCTGGGTAGAGTAAAGTTTTTTGCCCTCTCTGGGTGTCAGTTTATCCATCAGTAAAATCAGGTGGTCAGAGAAAATGATCTCTAAGATTTCTTTCTAACTCTAAATGTTCTAAGCTTATGATGCTGCTGGGATTCAGAAGGATTGCTAGAATGACCTCTGGAGGATCATAATGATGTCCAGGAGGTAGCTGGGATGGAGAACTATGGAGAGAATGTCCTTGCTGTGAGATGGACAGCTGAGAACAAAATGTCCCACAGTGTGGGCTCTGTCCAGCAGAAGGGCAATAAGAGGAGGGAGAAGAGGAGCAGCCTTCTCTATGGGAGGAGGAAGCCCCGCTCTGGCTCCCTCTCTTTTCTCCCCCTTCCCACCCAACCACTGCTTTGCCCTCCAGGGCTCTCCTTGCGTCTCCTTGGCTTCTGCATCTCTCTGGCCGCTGGCCCCATCCCTGTGCTAATCAAATAGCCCCAAATGCTGAAAACTCAAATGTTTATTTTATTTTTTTTTTACACACTTGCATAACTCACCCAATAAGCCAAGCCAGGCGCTGGGGGTTTGGATTTGTTTTATTTTGTCGCATTTTTTAAAAAAGGAAGAAGAAAGAAAGGCAGGCCAAACACCCAACCCTTAAAGCTGTCCCAGGCCAGGCTCTGGGCTCCAGACTCTGGTTTCTCAGTTGAATGGGAGGTTTACAGCAGGACTCAGCCTGGGCCTGGGCTTTACATACCCCCTACCATGAGTGGCTACTGGTTGTGGGAATGATCAGGAAGGGAAAAGGGCCAGGTGGAGGTCCCCATGGGAAGTAAAGCCACCAGCTAGTCTAGCCCCTGGCTCCTGGGTCACAGGAAGTCAATAGATAGGAATTTTCTCTTTCAGAGGCAAAGCCCTGCCTCCTTATGGTGTTTTTTTTTTGAGGGGGGAAGGGTTTGAGGGGGGGTGTTGAGTGAGAGGCAGGCAGTATTTTGGACCTTACCTTCTGGGCTCTTTCTTGGGCATGAAACCGAGATCCTAGAAACTTTCTGAGAACTTACCTCTCAAGGACTATCTTCAGGTCAGAGGCTAGAGTACTGGCCTTGGAAAGAAGAAGGAAGGAAAAAGATCTGAATTCAAATTCTCTCTCAGATACATTTTTTAGCCATGTGAACCCGGCAAATTACTTAAGTTCTCTGGCTCCTTATCTCTAAAATGGAGATGATTGTAGTACCCGATTTGTAGGGATGTCAAAATCAAGAGAGATTGCAAGCTAAGTGCACTGCAATCCTTAGTTTTCTATAAATGCTGGTTATTATTGTTGTTGTTATTGTCATTATTATTATTCCCCAGTCCTACTCACGCCAAACACCAGATTGCTGACAGTCCTCCCTGTCCAGTTGTTAAGTTGTCATAGGGCTGGTCAGCCAGCAGAGGGCTATGGAAGATGCTGCTGGATATAGACACTTCCTCCTCTCCTTGCCTCCTCCCGGCTCACAATCCTTGGCCCCCTCCCCCACTCACCAAGGCCAATCCCATCGAAATATGGAACTCTCTAAGAGGTAAGAGCATGTTACAATGGGAAAAACCTTGCCTCTGGAGTCACCAAGAATCATAATATCTTTAAAGTTTGCAAAGCGCTTGACAAATATCGACTCATTTCATTCTCGCAACAAACCCAGGAGGTAGGTGCTATTATTCCCATTTTACAGATGAGAGAACTAAGGTTGAGGGAGATTAAGTGACTTATCAGTTTCCTCATCTGTAAAATGAGGGTGCTAATCTCAATGGCTTTTGAGCCCTCTTCTGCTTGGCACTGTGGAGAACACTGGTCTTGGAAGACTTGTGTTCAAATCTGGTCTCAGACACTTGTCAGCTTCATGACTCTGGGCAAGTTACTTAACAGAGACACCTCCCCCCAGGCGCCTTTCTCTTTAGTATCTCTAACGCTGATTAACCATCTCTAGGTTGCAGGGTCTTCCTCCCTTTGAGAAAGGATAGACTGGGGGCTCTTCCTCCCCGTTCCCCAGCTTCCTGTGTCACTATTGCCCAGGAAAAAGGTATGTCCCCCCTCCCCTCCAGTGATCATGCATCCCCCAACCTCTTCAAGACCAAAACTGAGTAGTCACCAATAGTCTGAGAGATATCTACTATATTTAGTGGAAACATCACTGGTTTGGGAATTTTATCCAACATTTATTAAATTCCTATAATATGCAAGACATTATGGCCTAGCCACCATCCCAGCGGATAGAGAGCTGGCCTTGGAATCAGTAAAACCTGAGTTTTACACATGTGATTGTGTCATCCGAGCCAAGTCATGATGTCTCAGGAACCCAGGCAACTCTCTAAGATGCTATAACCTACAGACTTCCGTTGAAAGAGGCAGCTACTCACCAAGAGTGACCTGTTGTTTTCCACTAAACCTGTTCTTTTTCAAGCGCACAAGGCGCTCCAATAAAGTGATCAATTCTGGGTCTATAAAGATAAGAACAAAATAGTCCCTGCCCTCAGAGAGCTTCCAGTCTACTGAAATCAGAAGACCTAGGCTTTGTCACAGTTCAAAAACACTCTGAGTGACCTTGGGCAAGTCCTACTCCCTCTCTGAGTCTCAAGTGCCCTATCTAGAAAACCAGGTCGGGGTAGATGGTCTCCATCATC